GGCTGGGGGTGCTTTGCAGCAGCAGCCTGTCTGCAGAGGGTCCCAGAGGAGAGAGGCTGCTGCTGGAACAGCCTGTGCCTGCAAGTAGCCTGGACCCACCATGGGTAGATTTGATCTGACACAGAGGCAGCAGGAGGGGAGGGGGGAATGCTAGTAGTCAACTCGACTACCTGATAACCCTAGGCTTATCGGGTAGTCGATTAGTCAACTACTCTAGTGTGAGTGGTCCTCAGAAAGCCAAATTCCCTGTGTTTTGTAACTACAAAACAGCAACAGTCACCCATCAAGCAACAGAAACCACTACTACGGGAAAACAAGTACTAATGAAAAACTATATAAACACTCCATCTCCATGGTGCTTGTAGGATGGAGATGCAGTATTAAAACCTGTGCTTTTCCATGTCTGGGGCCAAAATTCAAGTCCACCTGTACGAGTCTTGCAGTCTCTACCTCTCTCTCCTTGTTGCTTGTCAGTAGCCCACCGAAAGATTTTTTTCAAGGAGGGATTTTTTTTGGGTCCCTATCATTTTGAAGGGGCAATTTCAATTCAGAGGGGGGCACAAATGAAGTCAAGACTTGTACTTCTACCACTTCCCTTCCTCAAAACTCAGATGACCAGGTCCAAAGCCGCTGTTGCTTGGTAGGTGGTAGTAGATGTACACTGTCAATTGTAGGATGCGTGTGAAGGGTTTCACGACCCCAAGGTTTGTCTAGGGGCTGCAAATCATGTACTCGGGCACCCTGTCAGGAACGTTTTACCCGCTTTGAGGAACAATGGGCATAACAGCAGGTGGCAGCAGGCAATACTGTACATCTCGATCTGCAAAGAGGTTAACCTGGCAGCAAGCGACAAGCGGCTGCACGTCAGGCTGGGATCGGTCGCTTCCAGGAGGCTGTGCCTTTCATAGGGTGACGGCATGCCACGCGTGTGTCTCTTGTGAGCTGCATGAAGCGAACATTCGTGCAATGGAAAAGTTTACAGATGGAACAGCCACCTTCCCACTGGAGCACCTTCACAGAAAGGTGGCTCCTGAATAGGCAGGGCAGACTTAATAGCCATTCAGAGCGAACTCTGAGAAAAGCAAATCCCAAGAAGATCCCGGGAGTAAGCAGTCAGAAGAGGGCGCAAGCTTCCTACCGGTCACTTTATCAAGACAGAAGAGCAACAAAGTGCCAGCTGACTTCAGTAACAGATGGCTGCCTGCACTGATCTGTCTTGCCTGCCCACTGAACTTCTTTCCAACAGAATTATGGAGTTCATGCAAGGCTGACCAAGGCTCCGCGCAGCCCTTTTTGTACTCACAGTGTCATGGCTGGCGTGCTTCCTGCTCACAGATAATCACGCATGTATACATCCGATTTTATACTAGGTACACTTAGCTTTAGGGAAGGCGAACAGAGAGCTGGGTGGTTGCTGACATTTTACTTCTCACCCCCATCCCCAGTTATTATATTTCCCTACCAATGTGCATTAATTGGTGCAGCGATATGAAAATGAACGTATTCACTTTTTCTTCCCATTTTCTCCTTTTCCCTTCCCTCCAAGTAAGGTGTAAGGTTTGTTCCTTTAATTACAAACCTTCAATGTTCTTTCTGTATTTCCTCTTGACCCATCAAGGCCTCATTGTGCAAAGAGCCTCCATCCGGCATAGGCTCATGTATCTCTGAGTACTGAGCTGCAGAGGGCACGGGACACGATAGCACAAGGGGAGCAGATACTGCTTCTGCAGGACATTAGCCTGTTGATCTGGTTAGCTGGGGACCCATACCTCCATTTATCGAGACTGGGGATTGCAGCACACTACCAGGTCAGCCTATGGGATACCTGTGAAAGATAGAAGGCCTGCACACACTACTTGTACTTTGTTGAAAGAACAGTAAAAATTAGTTTTTGAAAAAACCCAACATACGGCTCAAAGTTGACACAAAGGAACAAAACCACAACATTACTTACTTTGGCCACACAATTTTCAGCCTTCATAGCAGTGCTTGCTAGACATACTGTTTCTTGGTTTAAGCACAGTCTGGCACAGCTGTTATAGGTCTGTGGAAAGAGAAAAAAAAATTCTCAGAGGCACACAATTTGCTGCAAGGCATCCGACTTTTGGTGCAAGATACTCTAACAAATCAGCGAAGCCATTCTACTACATTTCTGAATCATTTCTCTCTCCTAAACAAAAGAGGAAAACAAGGTGAAATGGAGTTTCAAATCCCATTCAAACTAGTTTATAAAATAAATCGATACAGGGTGCATGTGGGATAAAACATCTCTTTCCCCCATCTTGCCTGGATATATTCTTATTTAAGTAGAAGCTTAAAGTACAGGAATGCAGAACAGCCCGGTTCATCCAGCTCTCCTTACAAGTCACAACACTGATACCTGTTGAGAATGGCCAAGGGTTAGCGTATGGACAGAATTCAGCAGTTTCTAATGCTGGATCCAAAAGAAGAAATGGATGGGTGGGAGAGAACACAATTCCTTCCAAATGGCTCCGTGGAGTAACCAACTAGGTCTTTCAGCAGTGGGTGGGACAGACTAGAGTGACTAGATTCAAACTAGGACAAAGTCACAAGCAAACAACCTTGCAGACATTTGCCCACGTCATAAACCCACCACTTTGTCATGTTTAGCACTTCCTACTCAGGAGAGGGGTCAGAATGAATAAATACATTATAAATCATGGTTTAGATGCACTGACCTAACTGTCAGGAGGAAATCTGGACAGTACTTTTTCGCTCTATGCACTACTCCAGCCAGAATCTCATTGTATAAGCATCAGCATTTACTAATTTCAGTCTGGAACTTGAGAGGGAGAAGAAAAAAAAGGGACATGCACATGCTTTGTTTCCCCATTTTTCACGACTGAGCTTTTTTTTTTTTTTTTTAAACTCACCTGGTTTTCCATTGTTTTCAGTTGCATTTGTAGTGTTTTATACGTGCATCTCTTCCACTCTGATTTCCCCCCATTTTACAAATCCATTATTATATATGGCAACACACAATAGACTGTATTACTAGGCAATTCATAAATTAAGTGCTAGGTACATAATTAAAAGACCCTATCTAAATGGCCCTATCTAAACAGACAACTCCTCCCCATCCCCAAATTTAGTTCCCATTTGTAAATAGGAACTCATGAGAGAGAGATTAAATAATTTGCCCAGGATGCAAAAGGAAGTTGGTGGCAGAATCAGGATTTGAACCCAGCTCCTTAGTCGTGGTGTAATCCCCTCACTTCCA